CTTTAGGAGATGTAGGGTCAAGGTAAGGCTTTTAAAAGTTAGTGTCCCTAGGGCAGTATGCGTCCAGTGACCAAATCCTGGACCAAAGTCTTTAAGGAGGTGGGAGGGGAAAGAATCCAAAATCCAAAGGGTTGACCTTTGATGGCAGTAAAGAAAACAGAATACACTTAAAGATGTAGGTGGCTTTGTAGAGCCAAAGGAAGATAATCAGGAAGCTTGGTAGATCTAGCTTTGTACATCATCAGGAAGATCAGTTTTGATCCAGTGAACTCTACATTCTGGCACTTGAGTCAAAGCTATGATGAAAGATGGTAAGTCATAGAATTTATCTATACTAATGTTTTTTAATGGACTAGGAGGCTTATTTTTCTTTTCTTTTTCTTTCTCTCCACCTGTCGGGAAGTTTGGCAGCCCTAGGTTTGAACAAACCAGTTCACGTCAATGTCAGTAGTCTGCAGGGACAGCCACCCCTCCACAGCAGCAGGGACGAGGTGCCCCGAGCAAGCAGGCGATGCACACCCCTGCCTACGTGCAGCTCCGATTCTTTGCCATTCTGGAGTATTTTTTATTATCAAGTGAAAAACACTGCACACGTTCCTTCCTCCTTTATACAATAACAAAATCTGCTCCAAGTATACTTTTATTTTCAGTCTCATGTTTCAGTTTGTTCTGTGGTCCCCTCCTTTACCTGTAACTAGTATTAAAAAGTATTTTTGCTTACTGGCAGGTAATTGTAAGAACTAATTTGTCTTAGGCCCTGATGCTCAGTCGTTCCTAAGGAAGGGCAGATCATTTTGCATGGTCCAAAGTGGGTAATGTCATGTCCCAAGGGAAGAAACTGAATGAAACAATGAAAACATGGGCTGTCAGAAGACCGCTGGGACACTGTTATGTGAGGCTGTGGGAAATCTTCCACTAAGGGAAGTGGAAGAAACTCCAGCACTTAGGTTAAAGCACATCTGTAAAAGGCACTGAAAACGTATTAGAGAGAGTCCCCGTAAAAGACCCTGGGAGGTAGATATATGACCAAAGGCACCTGCTCTCTAATCTTTCTGGTTCTACAAAATTACATTATATTTGTAGAAAAGAGTACTTTAGAGTTGAAGTACTAAACTTCAGAGTTGAAGAGGGAGTGGACTTCCCATGTGAACAGTAAAGATATCTGTGTATTTCTTAGCCTTAAAATAGTGAGGCAGCTTTAAAAATCAAGTCTATGTCAGAAAATCCAAATGTCATAAATCATAAAAGTTTAAAGCTAGATAGGAATATACGGCCAACAATATACTGTGACCTAATCTGTACAGTATCGCTACTCAACAAATAAATATACAATCAATACTTCAGCTTACATTTTTTTGAACAGCCACTATATGCTACATATCATGTCCTATAAATAATACCTAGCCAGATATTTGTGTGATAGGTAAAGATTTGAGGGGAAGCAGTATTTCCTAATCATTTTTCTATTTGACTTGGGGCAGGTTAACTTTAATAGTTTCACTTTCTCCAACCACAAAATGAAAAGGCAATCTCTTACATTTGAATGTTGTTATGAACTGAACATTTGTGCCCCCCACCAAATTCATTTGTTGAAACTCTCTCCCCTTCCCCCAATGTGATGGTATTGCTTCTGGGAGGTAATTAGGAGTAGATGAGGTCACAGGGGTGAATGAGATTAGTTCTCTTTTTTTTCATGTATGTATATTTTATTGATTGTGCTATTACAGTTGTCCCATTTTTTTCCTCCCCTTTATCCTCCTCTGCTCTGCCCCCCCCACATCCCAGCATTCCCCCCTTCCCTTTGTTCATGTCCCTGGGTCATACATATAAGTTCTTTGGCTTCTCCATTTCCTATACTATTCTTAACCTCCTATCTATTTTGTACCTACTATTTATGCTTCTTATTCCCTGTACCTTTTCCCCCATTCTCCCCGCTCCCCTCCCTGCTAATCTCCACTTCTGTGATTCTGTTCCTGTTCTAGTTGTTTGCTTAGTTTGTTTTTGTATTTTTTTAAAGTTTCAGTTGTTGATAGTTGTGAGTTTGCTGTCATTTTACTGTTCATAGTTTTGATCTTCTTCTTTTTCTTAGATAAGTCCCTTTAACATTTCATGTAATAAGGGCTTGGTGATGATGAACTTTAACTTTCCCTTATCTGGGAAGCACTCTATCTGCCCTTCCATTATAAATGATAGCTTATAAGAGTTACTAGAGAGTTCGCTTCCAATCTCTGCTCTCAGTCACAAAGAGAAGTCAGCAGCCGGTGACCTGGAAGAGGGCCCTCACCAGACCAGACCACGCTGGCACTCTGACCTTGGACCTTGAGCCTCCAGTTTTTTTGGAATTAACAACAGAAATAAATTTTTGTTGTTTTTAGGCCATGAAGTCTATGGTATTCTGCTATAGTAACACAAATTGACCAAGACAAATATTAAATGATTAAAGATGCCTTGTACTAGTGAATATATTACATCAAAAGCACAAGCGACAAAAGAAAAAATAAATGGAACTATATCAAAATAAAAAATTTTGTGCCGCAAATGGTCATCAAGAAAGTGAAACAACATCCCACAGAATGTGAAAAAATATTTGCAAATTATATATCTGATAAGAGACTGGTATCCAGAATATATGAAGAACACTTTTAACTCAACCATAAAAAGACAATAACTGAAAAAATGAACAAAGGACTTGAACAGATATTTGTCCAAAGAAGATACACAAATGGCTAAGAAACACATGAAAAGATGCTCAACTTCAGTAGCCCTTCGAGAAATGCAAAACAAAACCACAATGCAGTACCACTTCATGTACCATATATTAGTGTGGCTATAATTTTAAAAGACAGACAATAACAAGTGCTGGTGAGGATGCAAAGAAATTAGAATCATACATTGATGGTGGGAATGTAAAATGATACAGCTGCTTTGGAAAACAGTCTGCCAGGTTGCTCAAAGAGTTAAATATATAACCCAGCAATTCCATTCCTCGGTATAAACCCAAGAGAAATGAAACCCTATGTCCACACAAAAACTTGCATGTGAATGTTTATACCAGCATTATTCATAATAGCCCAAAGATGGAAACACCCCAAATATCCATTAACTGGTGAAGAGATTAACAAAATGTGGTCTAGCCATACAATGGGATGTTATTTGGCATTAAAGAAATGAAGTACTGACATAGGCTACAGTATGGATGAACCTTGAAAACACATGCTAAGTAAAGGCAGTTAGGTACAAAAGGCCGCATAATATAGGATTTCATTGATATGAAATGTCTGCAGGCAAACCCATAGAGACAGAAAGTCGGTGAGTGGTTGTTCAGAAGCAGGTAGAGAGCGTGGGGAGTGACTGTTCAGAGGTATGAAGCGTCTTTTGGGGTGAAATGTTCTGGAATAAGTGATGACAGTCACACGACTCTGTGCATGCACTCACCACTGTACACTTTAAATGGGTGAATTGTATGGTATGTGAGTTATATGACAGTAGTGAGGTTTAAAAAAAGAAGTGAACCTATTAACATCAGTGTCACCAGGGGTCCGAATTCTGGCTTACACAGAATTCCTTTCCTGGAGAGCAGATAATATGCAAAGCCAGCAGTGGTCTAATTTTACTCACAAATTCCTTACATATCTAGCTGTCAGGTTACTATTTTAAGCAAGAATAAAAAACAAGACCCCAACTCTTAATTCTGGAATGCAATCTTTAAGTTATCGTTTAGTAAACCATCCAATACAGTATATTCTTCATTATGGGGCAAAATCAGAAATTGCATGATACTGTTGACAGTTCAATTAAGATTTGTATATTATAAAATAGTGATATTCTTCAGAGAACAGCTCGGTGGTTGCCAGAGTGGTGAGGGTGTCATGGTGGGGTTAAATGGGTAAGGGGTGGGGGTCAAAGGTACAAACTTCCAGTTTGTAAGGTAAGTCCTGGGATTTACTGTGCAGCACTGGGGCTGGAGTTAGCAATACTTTATTGCATATTTTAAAGTTGCTAAGAGAATCATTCTTAGAAGTTCTCACCACAAGAAAAAAGTTTTAACTACCAGAACGTGTGCTGATGGATGTTAACTAAACTTACGGTGGTAATTACTTCAAAACATATATATATATATATATATAAAATCATTATGCTGCACTCCTAAAATATGTTATATGTCAATTATATCCCAATTTTTAAAAATGTGTATTCTTGCCTGAAGAGGGTTGGGTTGTTTTTTTTTTTCTATTGACTCCAAAAGCCTTCCTTGTATATGTGTACCCGCCTCAAAGTTTTTTGGGTGTCTCCCATTTATATTCTCACGTTTTACCATCAGTTTGCAACACACTTCAAAAGAAACCAAATCAGAAACTCTCTTTCCAAAATAGTTCGAAATGTAGTTCTACTTGTGTTGGAATTCTCTTCCCAACGGGCTTTCTTTGCAGAGGAGGTGTAGAAAGACGTTTTCAGAATGTGAGCGGTCCGTGTGTTAGAGAACGCTGGCCCCACAAAAGGAGGCGTTTTCCGTGTTCTCTTAACTTCTTTTCGGTGGGCATCGTGGACACTCCGGGCGTTTGGAAGCCGCTAAATCGCAAGCGCCTGCGAACAACGGAGGCGCTAAGGGGCCGAGTCGTGGGCGGGAGTCCCCGCCTGGCCCATCTCCCAACACGGTTCGGGCTCGCGCCTCGCTGCCTCGGCCCTCGCTCGCCAGCGCTGCCCTAGCGGCAGCCCACCTGAACCCAACCCACGGCGCCCGTCACCCCGCGCCGTCACCATGGCACCGCCCCGCCCCGCGCCCAGCCTGCCCTCCAGCCCGAGGCCCGCTCGCCCCTCCCCCTCCCCGCGCTCCGGCTCGGGAAGGGGTGGTGCGGCGGGAGGATACGCAAGCGAGAGGAAATCGGCGGTGCACGGCCGCGGCTTATTGGCTACCTGGCCTGGGGGCCAGAAGCCCCGCCTCCCTGGCGGGGTCACGTGATCCCTTTCAAAGATGGCCGCCTTGTTGTTTTGATGAATAATACTTGCTGGGGCGAGGGGATTAGAGTAGGGGTGGAGGGGTAGGAGGATTTACTCTTTCTGCTAGAGCATCGCGAGCCCGGTCCTCCTCCTCCCCCCTGCGCGGGCTCCGGCGTGGAGGCGGGGCGTGGCCGGCCTGCTTTGGGAGGGGAGGGGCTTGCCCCTTCTGTGCAGGGCTCTGCCTGGGCGGCTGTGGGGTCGCCCTACCTCGGGGCGTCCACTCTGCAGTCGAACAGTTCCCGCCGGGGATAAAGGGTAGGAAGGAGAGCAGGATCTGCTGGAGGAAACGCAGCTGCCGCGCCGCCACCACGACGCAGGCACGCCAGGCTTGGGGCACGAGGCGAGCTGGAGCCCTAGCTCAGTCTGGGTAACCTGGGAGGCAGAGGGTAGTCAGTGGAGCCTTAAGGTAACCCTGTAGCAGCAGTAGTGGCGGCCAAAGGAGGCTGCTCAGGGTACCAGCAGCTGTAGGAGCCTGTGGGGCGATTGGAGTGACCGACGCCAAGGCAGTTCAGTGCCTCGCCTTCTTATTTTCTAACCTCTGACTATGCAATTCTGAAACCTCCCCCGTTCGGGGGACCAGACAGCCCTACAGACACCGTCCACTTTCCTCCCGCCCTGGTCTCAAGAACAGAAGGATCTCGCCCTAACGCCTTTCACCATTAAGAGGAAAGCGATGGAGGAGCTGAGCGCTGATGAGGTGAGGAGGTTGGGGGACACCTTGGCAGATTACTTGGCAACTCTTTGGCGCCTTGGACAAGGGTGATATTACGCCAGTGGAGCCTGGTCTTTGGGCTTGGGAAAGAAACGGAGATGACATTTTCCAAGAATAAAGCAAGTCTCTGAGAGGGTCTCCGGTTGTATTCGCCTTTATTCCTTGCCTTCTGTCTTCATTCTTAACTCCGTTTGCTTCTTTTCGAGTCTTCTTTTAGGGTCTGAAGAAGAGAGCATATCGAGGCGTTCATTCTTTTTTCGGGGTATTTAAAAAAGAAGGACTAGATTTATATCAAGTTAAATTGTGTGTGTGTGTGTGTGTGTGTGTGTGTGTGCACGCGCGCGCGTGCGCTCGCGTGTTACTGCAGAGATTTAAAGAATAATTTTGGATGAAATCAGAATGTATGGGTGTATTTTTTAAGGGAAGTGTTTGAAAACCCAAGTATATGTGGCTGTATTATTGTGTAAGTTGACTAAACATACGTTTGTTTTGGGGGGTGGTCTACAGACAGATTCTTTGATATTTAACAAAATATGTATATTCTCAATAGCTTAGTGAATTCCAGTTAAATTCTAGTCATTTAACAGACCACCACTGACTTCTGGCATACTTCTTTTTAATTCAGCCTTTTTCTTGTTCTTGTCCTTTTCAAACTTGTGTTTTGCTGTAGCAGACATGGAATAACAAGCAAATGGCTTTGTAAACTGCCCCTGTTATGTTTCTGAAGGAAATCTTAGAGATCCCTTTCTTGATGTTTTAAAGGTTATTTAATAAGATGGTCATAAAAACAGTGGTGGTTAGGGTACAAGGAATTTCTTGGGATTCTACCGACTTTTCCCTTGCTTTTTACAAATTGGGAGCTTCCCTCTTAGGACCCCTGCTGGCCTCACTCCCTCAACCTACCTCTTCATTTCTTCCACTGGTTGGCATAATACTTCCTACAGGACCGGGAAAGTAGTCACCCGTCAGGCTGGTTGTACCATGAAGCTCCCATGCTTCGGTTTTAGCTATGGAGTAGTCAGTGTGTTTACTTTGGGACGAAAATTCTCTGGGGATGGGGCATGCAAGTGGTGGGTTAAGGGTCAGGTGGGGAAGGAAGCAAATAATTCTGTTGGTTGTGATACTTAGCTGTTTGGAAAGTCAGGATTGCCCATTCTGTGTTACTGACTTTGTTCTCTCAAGTCCATCAGGAATGTGATCTTAAATTAGAGTCATATTGAACAGTTTCTTATATTCAGGTAGGAACTGGATGAGTAACCCTTAGAAGCACTTTGTTTTATGTAGTTTTTAAAAATGTCACCCCCCCCCCTTTTCTTTACTATTAGTTCTAATAGTGATTTCTCTTAAGGCAAAGAGTTTGTTTTCTAGTAGTCCTTTACTTTTTTTTTATTGACATTCTCTAAATTGGCCCTGGTTTATAAGTTTTTACATACTTGAGTTTTCACCAAGAAATTGTTTTCAAACCAGGAAAGCATACAGACCAGTTAAAGATACTGTATATTTGAACTGTGGCTCTTCGCTTTATCCAGTCCTTGAGGAAGGTTTAACTTTTTTGTGACCATATAAGGACAAATGTAATCGTTGTGGAGGAGATAGAAACACATTTTTCAAGGTCAACAGAATATTAAAATAAATGTTAAAATTTAATTCACTAATATAAGATTAATATAAAATCACACCCAACAAATTAGTTAGCCTGAACACAAAGGGATAGTTCAGTAACTGGTAATTTTACTCTCAGCAGAACTTAGACTGATTCCTCCCCCCGCCCCCCCCAAATCTCCTTAAGGTTTCCCCCGCCCCCCAATCCATTTTTTTAAAATTCTGGGATTGGGTGAGCAGTTCTCAACAGAGACCTTTCCAAAGCTTTTGCCTTTGTATTGCTACTCTTGGTGGAAACTTTTGTCACAGATACGGTAGGTGACATTCACTTGGTTAGAAAATAATATATTTATGTTACTTAAAATTCAAACATACATCTTAGGGTGAAAACAGACAAGACAGTGGTCTTTCAGTAGGAAATTAGGTAAGGCAGAGTTTCATATTTTAACAAAATGAGAATGTATGAGAATACAGTCCATGAAAAATAGAGACCGGTATAACCAGACTGGTAGCTCTAGAAGATTTTACGTTCTGACACTTTTTGGTTTCTCTCGCAGATCACCCTGAGTTCTCGTACTTTGCTTTTGTGCTCTCGGAGTGCTTGTTACCTTCATTGCTGTTTGCCGCACGTACAGCACATTTCAGGGAGTCCATCGCTCTCCAGAGCAGACCCATGACTAAGTCTATTCTCCTCACGAACCTGCGTTCCACAGCGCCATTATTTACATTATATTCATTCTGTGCCCTGCTCATATTGCTGTTTTTCATGCACCAAAGTGACGCTGTGAGTAGAGCAGGTATTTTGAAATTGATTGTCAACTGTGATGATGAGATTGCATTGAAATGATTTGCTCCCCTCTCTCGCCCCCCCCCCCACCCTTTTTCTTTTTTTGCTGAATCTTTCTGACCTAGTTCCTCTTCAAGATGGCTGGCTGGGATTTAGGGTGTGGTCAAGGTTTTAGAAGAGTGTTAAGTTTTCCCTCTCACATGTAGACTACGCGACCTTGGACTTCTTAGTTGTGTTCGTTCAGTGTGAAGGGATCGACATCTATTAACAGCTTTAAGAGCCTGCTCCTGCCAGGCACCTCACAACCATTGTCTTATTTGAGAAAACAGTGCAATCAAGGAGGACCTTCGCTTTCTCTTCTTTTATAGGTGAGGCAACTGAGATTTAGGTTAAGTAATTTGTCCGTCCGTGACCTGGCTGACAACTGATAGAGCTGGAATTCAAACCCAGCGTTCCAGACCCAGAAGCTCTTTTTTGCCACATTTTACGGCTTAACAACTGGCAATAAATTCATCCCAGCTTCTTTATAAATATCCTTCTAACATGCCTGCTTGATCTGCAGTTTTTCTGTAGAAGTGTTGTTTTTCATGAATGCATTCATGATAATGATCCAACTTACAGTCTTTTTTTGGTACTGACTCTCGCCCTTCCAGTATTATTCACTCAACAAACATTTTTTAAAAAGCTCCTGTATATTCCCAGCAATGTGTTAGGTAGGTTAAGAGAAAGGCAGTCCTTTTTCTTAAAGCATACTTTAACTGGGGGAGGAGATAGAGAGGGAGAGAGGAGTCCCACAGTAACAGTGCAAGATGCTTAGTGCTGTTGTGGAGGTATGCATAAGACATTAAAAAAAAAATACCCAAAACAAGAAGGGACTGTGTCTTAGTGGAGAGCAGTGTCTTAGTAGATAGAGACTTAGAAGAAAAAATGATGTTTATGCCGAGCAGCAGTTGCCAGGGGAAGGGCGCTTGGAACTGGCTGTGACACTGGGGAGCGCAGGAATGAGCTAGAATCAGTGGGATGGGAGGCAGGATTTTGCCTGTGGGAGCCAGGTCTTGGAGGGTGTTCAGAAATGCCTAGGAGTTTGGACCTTCCCAGTAAGACTGTGGGAAGCCTTTGAGGGATCCTAGGGGAGTAGAAAGATGGTTGGCAAGGGGTGTGGAAGGTGGATTTGGAGAAGGTGGCCGCAGGCTGGGAGACCAATGCGGAGGCTGCTGCTGTTCTCCAGGAGTGGGGCGGTGGGAACGGAGGAGGGCGGACATCAGAAATACCCAGGGTCTAAGTTAACCCCCTTCGAATGATCAGTTTGATATAAAGGAGGTGGGGACGGAGAAGGAGTAAAGAAAAATTGAGTCCTTGGATTCTGGCTTGGGACCAAGATGGATGGAGGGAGGAATCAGGAATTTCAGACAAGGCGCGGATTTTGGAGAACTCAGCTGAGTTCCTTTGGACCATGGAAAGATAAGCCAACGTGGGGAGCGCCACCTCTGGCCTCGTCTTCATCTTCTTGACCGACCTTCCTTTCCTTGGATTTTATTTATTTATATTTAGAGAGAGGGAAAGGGAGGGAGAAAGGGAGTGAGAGAAACATTGATGTGTGAGAGATATATCCATCAGTTGCCTCTCGCATGCACTCTGACTGGGGACCTGGCCCACAACCCAGGCACATGCCCTGACTGGGAATCGAACCAGCGACCTTCCGGTTCTCAGGCCGATGCTCAATCCATTGAGTCACACTCGCCAGGGCTTTTTGACCTTTTCTTTCTTTGTGACAGGCCTCAGAACCGAAGCTCACTTTTTCCCGGTAGACAGTTGCTACCACCACTTTGTGACCAGGATTCTTCTTCAAGCCTGGCGGGAGCATAGCTTCCCGGGCCCCTTCTCCACTCCTTTTGTGCATTTTAGCCAAGACACGGAGAATGATGATGGTATCAGCTGACACTTACTGAGCTCTTTATATGTGCTTAGCACTTAGCTTGCACAGCAAGGTTGGTATTATTATCCCCATTCTACAGATAAGAAAACTGAGGCTAATAGAAATTACGCACAGTAGTTTGCTGAAAGGGACACACTAGTAAGCAGTAGAACCTGGATGCTAATCCAGAGACTGGTTCCAGAGTTCTCAATCCCTTTACTAAACTACCTCCAAAATAGAAATAACGTGAGCAAGTCGTACTGTTTACAGCAATTTTTTTTTTAATCATCACCTGAGGATATGTTTATCACCTGAGGATATGTTTATTGGTTTTAGAGAGAGAAGAAGGTAGAGAGGGAGATAGAAACATCGATCAGTTGCTTCCCGTACACACTCCAACTGGGGATCGAACCCAAACCTCAGTGTATGTCCTGATCAGGAATCAAACCTGCAACCTTTTCGTGTACAGGATGACGCTCCCACCAGCTGACCCACCGGGCCAGGGCTACAGGGAGATGCTGGTTCCTTTGGGGATGGGAGGTCACCAAAGAGCCCTCTACTCTCGTCGGGGAAGAAGACAGACTTCTGACCAGGGCCCGTGGGTCTTCAGGCCTTTGCTCGGTGCAGGGTGCAGCGTCCCACAAGGTGCTTGTGGTGCATCTGGGCGGAGATGTCCTCCTA